TAGGTGTAAATTTATAGCGTGATCTTATCTGGTATTAATTTCGAGATGAGATGCTACCTTACTTCCAGTGGAAGCCATCTGGTCTCTGTCTCTAAGGTCCCGTGATTTTGGATAATCTGGCACATGCCAGGAACAACAACCAGTTAGTTAAGGGAACATATACTGTTCCTTTGAAGTCACCGGAATTTTGGCCTAATTACGCTTGAGAGTATATAAAAGTGAAATGCTTAGCAAGCAAAGGTGTGGCAGTGAATTCAAACACTGTTTGAAGTGAAAAACTCCACCGGATGTGGTACTGACTTAAAAAAAGATTGAAGACCTAACTCAAGAAGCAACATCAGGATATCGATGATTCTGGTGGAATCTATGGAAGAAAAGAAAAGTACACGAACGAATGCTCCAAGTAAACAATGTCTGCAAATATGTAGCGCAAAATGAACCATTTCGAGAAACAGGGTTACATAACCTTTGCAGGCATTCTCCCAGATTTAAGCACAGTGTTCATCTGCTTCGCTTTTGTTTGTTTCGGTTACAAATCGCGTATGGAACGGATATCCTTTTTTACTCTTATATAATACGATAATGTATCTGACCTCGGTGGAACTAAATTAGCGGAAAAGACAGCGTAAAAGATGGGTGAAGAATTCACAATAATCTATGGTGCAATCAACGCCGTTTGAACAATTTCTATCTCACTCATCATTACAAACCACTGTATTTTTAGTTAAACAAATTATTTTACACATGCTGAGCCCCTTCAGGGTATCTCATTGATCGGGCGTTTGTCAGTTTTGAATAACGTCTGTCTTGTAGAAGATAAGAGAATGTAAGTGCGGTAATCGATATCTACTTCAAATGCTGGTAGTAAGTTATTCCTTTTTGTTAATTCTCAACTTATTTGTTATCCAAAGCCGATTGATCAACAACGCTGTCAACTTGGATCGATATGAGGTTGATGACAAAAGTGTTGAAATCCCTACTACACAGCCTGTTTAAATCAGATTCTGGTGCCATTTCAATGTGCCAAATGTTTAAATCAACTACTAACAACAGAAGAATAAACTTTTCATACGCTACCACCACCACCGACAACAACAACCTCGTTTTGACTGTTGTTTTAACATTTTAAACTAGGGATCACTGTTTGTCTTTTGATATGTCAGAATTTGTCCGTTCAGAAAGTCTACTTTGGATGACATATTTATGTCAATAGATCTTCTAAAAACAAGAAATATCAATGAGGTCAAAGCATGAGATTAATTTGTAAATCAGGGAACCGAACACGAAGGGTTATTAAACACAGATATGTTTGTAGCCTTTCAAATACTGAGAGACATCATTTAACGAGTGTATGAGAGAGGGAGGGGGGAGTATATCGAACTCCAAAGACTGGACAAGTGTACTCTCATTCAGACGCGCTGATCATATCTGCATCATTTGATTCAGTTTTCATGTGTCTGAGGGATAATCGACTTCACAGGACTGATGTTTCTAAACTTGGGAAAAATCCTGATAGTTTATGAGTGATACTGGTGGTAGTTCACAAGTGTATCACATTTTTGTAACATTGGCCGGCTGCGTTACGCCAAACAGTGGTTTAGTTAAGGAAACCGCAGATCTAAAAAGTTCCAAAAATCCTCCAGTTACACTTGCAAATACAAACTACAAACGCCGGCCAAATTCGGGTTAGAAATAGTTCAGTACAATACTTGGTTTGACCTGTGCGTGTGTTGGGTGTGGTAGTAGGTGTATGCAAAATAGACTGTGGTTTATAGGCTGAACGCACTAGGTTGGGTGGTACCAAACACCAGAAGTTCATCGGATATAGCTCGCTGTCTGTGGCTATTATTCAAAACAAAACAGCGACGACCCCACCCTAATAAACGTGTGGTTAATGTTGCCTGTATTGTTTTGATATTGCACTTGATAAACCGTTTTTCCACCAATAATATTGATTCATTCATTCATCCGAAACAGAAAACATCAATAAAAACGGAAGGAGTGTTCGGTCGCTATGCGTTATTGGACGACTAATTGGAAACCATAAAATTTCAGGCTATTCGATTAAGTTGGAGTAATGGTGCCGAAAATATATATCCAGTTTTCTTTTGCTCTCATTCATCTTGTTGAGTAAATTCGCCCTCACGAATCGTTTTATTCTGTTCAGAAAATGGTCATACCAAAGGTGTGAATTGATCCTCGAGTTCACATCCATATCCGGCTAATAGAAATCGTTGTTTACTCAAATCTATCCAATTCTGTATATAGCGGTGAATCTTTTCACGACATAATTTTGATCTCATTTACTGAATGATGAGTGCAATATTTGTAATCGTTCATAAATAACTTCACGCAATTTAGGTGGATTGGTGACATTTTAATTATTCCATTATTCAAAAGGTCAGTTAGTTTTAAAATATTTGTTCAGTAAACCTTTGATTATTTAGTCCCTCAGTGGATCAGTCATTGGGACAGCCAAAAATGAGCACAGTTAGCCTGTTGGCATCTTTTAAATAAATCGGTATGGATATTATGTGAAAACTGAAAAACCTCAACTCACTAAATCATTAACCAAAAGGTATTTTTGAACATCATCGTAGTAGTAGTTAGCGTTCGGCTTAGTGCATTCCACTGATCACATGCACTAGATAGTACTGAAGATCATGGGAGCGAGATCATCAGCGATCGTCAATTCCCTGTCAGTAAAATGCACTTAAATTTGCAACCGAAATATGATCTGCAATGACCGACAGTTGTTTCATACTGTTTGACCATTGTAGCAGTTTGTACTGTTTGTTTCCCTGCCTGGGATAAGAACCCACAACAATGACGGGTGTCTGTAAATATTCAAATAAGCCAAATCACACATGATATTCCAAACTGAATGATTAATTTGTTCAAGATGTTGGCCTTCTATTGTTTAGCTGAGGGGGAGGGGTTTGAACTCCTGACCAGAAGGTTCACGGTTCGAGTTCGGGTAGAACGAAACAGTTGTTCAGTGATCTTTGTCGGTCACCACGGAGATTTCAGTTGCATATAAAGACAGTGTATTCTTTCTTTACAAGTAATTAAAGTGATTGCTGAAGTGTTCGTGGATGTCAGTTCGAAATCAAACAGTAAACAATTTTGTTCACCAAACTGTTACTCAGCATTGTATCAGTATTATCCAATGGTTATCTACCAAGTTATTTTTCTTACTTATATATGACTGCATTCCGTAATCATTAGGTGGTAAACACAGGCCACTTCTCGTGGCTCTTGTGACAGTGAATTAATATTGTTTGTAAAGAAGCGTTGGAACAAAAAATATGTGTAATCTACTTTACTGAATTTGGAATCATTCACCTCAACTTCTAGATGATTGTTATAAGTGAAACAACCCAAGAAGTCGGTTACTTGGAGAGAAAAATGCACTTTCATATTTACAACAGTTCTACTTAGCTTCCACCTGTCCTCTTCTTCATTTTCGTCTCCTTAAATTATTGAATTGGTATCACCTGCATCCCCGAATATTTCTTACCTTTTCCAGTTGAACTGACTTTGATCTCTCCTCAAGTTCTTATTCTGTGCATGGACCAAATACATTCCATTATGGAAAACTGTGTTCATGTCTGTGTAAACCGCCTAGTCTTTTATGGTTCACTTGGATCGTGAAGTGATTTGTCTTGCTGCTGCTTCATCCGTAAATTCGACATATCTGGGAGTTTAAAGTAAAATTTCATCTGCAGTACAAATCATATTCTCTTTGACACAGTTCATCCATAAATTATCAACATTGACTGGTGTGGTAATGCAATCAATCTCCTGCTGTGTCACACCCCTCGGGAATTCGAAAAAGCGGGTAAGTTCCAGGAAATGTTACATAGCATGTTAGCCAGTAGTAGATGGTATTAAGCAGAATGGAAAATCGATTGGGAGTTTTATGGAAAAATAAATCGGATCAATGAAAAGTTCGTTAATTTTGTTGTTCGTTTCCATGTTTATAATAATGCATTGTATATTTATAACAGAATTTATACCTACCATCCTGCGTGTTCTTTATGTATCGAAGAAATATAAACATTTTATGATGCAATCAGCTTAATATCGGTATACTGCATGCGGTATTCAGCCCTTTTTCAGTTCTAAGTGTCTAGTTATCCCGAAATAACCTTCCTTTCTTCAAGGGAACTTTTTCTGACTCAATTATCCCATATTAACTCCAGATATTCCTCCATTCCTCTGCAATGTTAGCCTAACCACAGAATTGATCATATGACGTCCACCGTAATATACAACTGTTTTAGCTATAATCATCACACCCATTCAAGGACAACAAAGGTGAACCAGTTCGAATACACTGAGAAGGAAATAACATCCAAAATGAGGGAAATATCTGTTACGGGGTATACTCAGAACATTGACTTCTTTCTCATATTCAAACTGATTGGTCGCTATGCAATTTATGCATGATTTTCTAGTGAAAATGTGTTCCATCAGCGTCTGTAGACATTTACACGTTCGTTCGCGTTTTTTGTTACCAGTGTTTGTTCAAAGCGATTGATGCATTCGTCATGACCGTTGTTGGTCCGACTAAGTTCAACACGTGATGCCATAACGTGATTCATATATATATATATATATAGAGAGAGAGAGAGAGGGAGACAGAGAGAGAGAGAGACAGAGAGAGAGAGAGAGAGGGAAAGAAGTATCCTTTGACCCGGGTTACGATGACCTTTGGCAAGTGACCTGTTTAATTTCATCGGTGATCTAGGATAAGTGAAAGTATCGTTCATTCATTCACACAGGTGAGTCCGCACAACGGCGTTTATCGATCGCTCGGATGTGACATCTCACTCCACTCACCCGCTTACCAGTCAATCGCGATTATCATCCACCGGTTTGCACGTTATTGCGACAGAGCGCATCGATAGACCGAATGACTGTGGCTCTGGTGACCACTGTAGCAAAAGTGACCACATTCGCGTGCCCCCACAGAATTGCAAAAATAAATTTGCAGATTACAAATATGTATTTTTAGAAAAATCATAAATCTTCGTTTGTCTCAGCTTGGCTCTCCTTTGGAAATCAACAAACGCGCTGTTTAAATAAATTGTACACTCCAATGATCGACCCCAACTCCGAGCATTAGCCAAGGCAAACAGTTTCAATTGATCCAATAAGGTCTGTGCCTCTCTCATTGAGATAGCTTCCGGTGCACTCACTGCTTCATATTCATCTTCTTTGCGATTCTTAGCTTGATTCGAAACGAATTCATCTGATGACTTAAAAAGAGACTTGATCCAATAATTTTGAGTAACCCATTTCTCCATCATAAATTCCAAATAGACGATTTCTTCTTCAAAAAGACGGTCATCAGTAGACACATAATGAGTAAAGTCCTCGATCAAATCGCATTTATCCTTTGGTGGCTGCATCACCGACTGGATCAAAGTGGGTTTGAACCCAGCTTTCTTGACTAGACGCATGTCCATGAGAACATCCACCTCGGCTTTCATGATAACTTGCTCATTTTCGATCAAAGACAAAATACATCCCCGCAAATGTTTCCGAAGTGTACATTTTAAAGACCAAATCACACCCTGATCCATTGAAGAACAGTACAGAGGCAGCCGTACCAAATTGACATAGGAGAATACTGCGGCTTGGTTATGCCAAGGGGCGTTGTCCATGAGCAGTAAAATAGAGCGCCTTTGAGAAACCATTTTACGGTTGACATCGGATAACCAAATGTGAAATAACGCAGAAGGCATCCATGAGTTCTTTGAAGAATTATAACCGCAAAGAAGACATTTTCTATCTATTGTGGAGTTTGAAACTTTCCAATCATCAACGGTGGTAAATTTTCTCCAGTCATGCTCCCACAAAGCAGTAACGTGACCCTCTATTTGGATTTCTTGGACCCAGAAACTGTCGTTCCTCTCAGACTTAATGTTCTTTATAGGAGCTGCCTGTAAAACAAAGCTGTTTCATCTACAGTGAAAATATCACAGTCAGTATATCCATGTATCAACTGCGGGGACCCCACTCGAAGCTCGTCCATTGCATCACTCGGTAGCGCTAAACTTTCTCCACAGACCTATAAAGTGATGCACACGAGTTGCTTGTTTCTTACTTTGTACGATTGAATACCATATCTGTCTGACAAAGAGTGAACCCAACCTTTGGAAATCTTGAGGTCACTCTGATGCAATCTTAGTGCTAGCTGGATTGCCTTCTTACTTACGATGCTCTTTACCATTGGAAACTCTCCGTGCCTTACCCTCATAGCAGTAAACCAAGCCAAAGTTGCCTCATTCACTGCCTTGAACTTTTCGTTGGTTTTCAAATGGCATGCTCCAGCGTTCAAAAATTCTCCGATGGTTGTTCGATGGGATATAACATTGTAGACAGTTTTTCGTGAAATTCCAAGTGACTTGGCTACGGAGCTCTGAGTTGCACCTGGCTGTTTCAGCATTTCAAACACATTCTGCTTCTCTCTGATTGATAGGCACTTGCACATTTTGACGTCAAATGACACTATCTCCGATCACTTACATCGATCTGACTTCCCCGCAAGGATTATCCGAACAGTGAACAGTGCCATGAACGAGTCACACTAGGTAAAACGCCATTGGTTGAGCGCGACATTTCAGGATGGATGGTCAATGGTCGTCCCGAATATCGGTGAACGGCCAAGTGAGTAGGTATCAGGAACTGCGACATATTGAAGGGTGCGACATTGCACAGCGAGAAACTACAATATTACGCATACAGTTGGTTTGGGTTTTCGAAAAGGTGGATGATATTGGAAAATGAGGCTTCTCAGGGGTGCGACATAGCATGAGATTGACTAAATAAGTATGGCGCGTTGTAGCGTCCTGATTCTATTACATTGTATTTGTGCACAATTTCGCATGAGCAGGAGTCTGCATTTCATTAAAAATTACACATCCAATCAAAAGGAGGAAATAATACAATTAAAACACTTAACGTCCAAGGTTACTGAGAAATTCAGAAGAAACGCTTTGTCAGTTTATACGGATTCTACCGAGTTAGGGAACTGGGGAATTTCTGTCGGGATTCATGCGAGAAGGTAATTGAGTACCATTTGCAAGATCGGAAGCTTACACTTCAGTCGAAAATGCTATCCACACCAGATTTCATGCTGAAATCATTTCACGGAAGTAAAACATCACCGAGATCATTAAATTAATGTATAGCTCAAGGATAAGGCGTAATTCCCTCGTTCATCACGCATTGTTTGTGAGTGTACTTACAAGATGGAGTACGAACAACTGTCGATAATGATATACGTCCGATGTTAGATCGTGTACTCGGATGGGGGCGGTATCACGTTGGATTCAGCACGTAATGAATGGGTGGTTGTTGTCGACAATAATTCCTTTCACAAGCCTGATACAAGAAGTTGTGTGATGATCGGAAATTTTTACAATCAACTCATCTACGAAAATCAAGGAAACATGGCTATTATGCGTAAACTTTTGAGTTCAGTTCAAATAATTGGATGACTTCATCGTATGATAAATCATCATCGGCAAATAATTACAAAAGGGCACTCTTCACTAAAACACCTGCTTTACTGACGGATTTCTCCACACAATCCGTTAGAACTATGACCCAGAAAGGGAGTAAAAATCCAGCATAAATATAAATTTAAGTTAAAACGGTAAATGGACTGTTTGACATAAGCTGAAAAAGATGAGGGTGATCCACGTGGAGCTGTTCACATTTTATGGCTTGAACGAAGGGTAAACGATTTGCAGTAACCTTGAAACATAGGTTCATTACCATCTTGGAGAAACTTGATACTCTTGAATTAATAACTTTATTGTATTATGTGTACAGCCATTCATCGCAAATGTTTTTTGAGATTAAATGAAGACGAATTACGAAAAGCAGGCTTTATTTATTTGCTGTTCATTCAGACAAAAGACACATAAGATCATGCTGTCGGTCTTCCTTTGTCTAATGGCTTGGTAGACTTCACACCATCTACCCTCCCTATCTTGATACGATCATAAAATTCTGTGTGCGACAACTAAAATTTACATAATTAACTGTTGTGAATTCCAATACCTAATTTTATATTTGTTTGCTCTTTATACAAATTTCTGATCGATAAGCTTATTTATAAACCACCTTAATGAAACTGTCTGATATATTTTAATTTCCTCAAAATTTAACTCAAAATATTTTCGTCTTGATTAACAATTGTTATTATTTATTGTAAAAATCACTGAAAAAATGAAAATTCAACTAACACGTGAGTAGTTGTAGACGTAATAATAAAACTTACAAACGAATTTCATACTTATGTGAGGTAATGCTATTTAAATTCCCTCATTCGCGAAAATATGCGACAACTCATCATTTGCTTTCAAATCATCAAGGTCATAATAGAATGTGGTAATATTTTCAATCACTCCACTGAAAGAAATCATAAAATTCATCATATTCTCCTCTGGGACCATAGTTGCCTCGTACAATTCCTAAATTGGATCATCCATCAAGGATATTACCTAAGGTTCTGATACGCTCTATCTATAGTATACAGACAAAACTACTCAATACGCATTTTTCTACTCAGAGATGCACATATGCGCATTGTGAATCTCGCAGCACACTTTCACATGAGGTTGCATGAGGTCCTCAGCACTCTGCCTCCCGTTCCCGACCTGAACAGAAATGCTCACCCTTACTTGAATTTAAATTCTCAGATCCCATCATCTGTGTTACGTCGTTCTGTTGGATTCCACACAAATTATTATTCATACTCAGTATGTATCTGAATAGGGATAATGATTGAACTTCCCAGGACTGAGACCTAAGTAAGAATAACAGCATGCAGATTTATGTGAATTCACATGGAAGTGAAGAATAGGGTAACCGGTTCGCATAACCAAGCTCGCTGGTTTTTGTGATTGATTGTGGCACAAATGAAAGAGTTTCAGCTCCTAATATGAAGGTTCGCTGTTCAGGTCAGCGATTTGTTGGTGAGTTTCATTGGAGACCACGTGAAGGTTCGTATGTGGATAAGGTGGTACTTGTTGCACGGAACAAATCAGGTGTCGGGTCTACGGCATCGTTGTACGCCCAAATGAAGAAAGATGGTAGTGATATGTTTCGTTCAACAAGGTTAATGAAAGAAGGCCGACAAAAGCACTGTAAACACAGTTGGTTCATGTTTGTTTTGGCCCATCAGTAATACATTATATTTCATGACATGGACTGTGCAGCTTAACTGCAGAGGTTTCAACTGCTCATCCAAGGGCTCTCAGTTCGATTCCCAGTAGGAACACTATTATTTTTTTTAAATTATCTTTTTATTACAGGTTATGATGCTTCATAACATAAACGATTACTTTTGCGTAATTAGGATGTATTTCGACAGATATCTAGGGAATGAAACGGAAGCTGAAACGCTTGGAATTTCTGGACGTCCCAGACATTACCACCTTGATGAGAGCCGTCAGAAGTTAAATAATGCGGAATGATCAAAACAGAATTTATGTTTGGCCGCAACTATTGTACGCTGGATTACGTGGGTTTAGATGCATTTCATTGTAACAATGTGAGTATCAACCTTGTATGCGGCTATGCTTTGCACTGATCCATCTCTCGTAGTTTCCGGTGTGAATAATGACTCATTGTTTACATTGCTACCACCCTGATTCAGTCAAATTAATGTTACCACATCGCGTAAGTCTGTTTATCGGTTGCATCGTTCGGTCAACTGGTCTGATAAGCTAGTGATCGATCAATGGTTCAGTAAGCGATTATATAACACTTTATGGATGAGGTAGGCCAAACAAGTTTAAAATAACCTCACACAACATTCACAGATAAACTGTGTGGGAGAGAGAAAAAAACGCAATGATTGGTTTGAATGTATCTAAGCAGATTTCAATAACCAGTGAGGATACAAATTCATTCAAACACACCACCATTTCCTAAACTTCAAACGAGTATTGCAGTAAATCATAGCAGTTAACCTTAATTAAGTATTTGTCTGATCACATTGAAATTCAGAAATTAGTGTGCTCTTCACCTTAAAATTATTCCTGTCACAATCCTTTCTTGCTCACGTTGTGCACTCTAGAAAACCACTCCATATGTGGTATACTGTTTCTCCGAGAACTTCATTGATTAAGGTGTTAAGCCTGACTTAATCTGGTCAAGTAGTTGAACTATTCGTCCCATTTGAAAAAAGAAGCATTTCCGCAGTTTTCCCAAAAGAGGTGTTTCACCATCGGATGCGATGTTAGGCGGAAAAACTAATTATAAACAATAAGTCAACAATTCGTTAGTGCTCGAAAAGTTCTACCGGATTTTCAACAAAGCTGTTGTTGACTCGTTTTGACTTGAAGGAAAACGTTTCCTCACTTGAGTACCCCGTAAGATCAGCATTTAGTAAAATCTGGCGAATCAAACACCCGAAATAGGGAACGACAAACAAACGGTACGCAGCTGTGTAGCTAAATTTGATAGACGTTTACTGAGCTTGGTTTCGAGAGGGGGTGAATGCTGTCCGACCAACATTTCACAGGAATCAAGGTGTTTTCGTACGATGAGCCCAAATAAATTAAGATGTGGGATTCCATTGGTGAATCCGGAACGGTTCAGCAGCCCACGTGGTGGTAAAAAACTCCGATGGGAACAGAAAAGTAAC